GGCTCATGGCCCCTGGAAGCAGGGAAAGGGGGACCACAAGACCATCAGAGGTGAGTGGAACATCATGCCTGCAAGCGGGGAGGAGGGGGGGGGAAGGGCGACCTCCCGAGATGGCCAGCGACAGGCACAGCACCCCAAAAGGCAAGGCAGAGCGGGTGGGCAGAAGAGGAGAGGGGCCGACCACGGCCGATCTGCTGGGGCCCCCTCTCTGGGGCATCGTGAGGCCCCCATTCAAGTACTGGGGAATTCTTTCGAGTACTCTTGGGCCGCCCTGGTGGGCCAGATGAGGAGTGTGAGGGGGAAAGCGAGCCCAACGAAAACGAAGCAGGAGCAGGAGAAGGAACGAACGAACGACTCTGCAGAGGCGTGTCGGCGTGATCCTGCGGGATGCGCTGGAACTGAGTAGACCAGATCCGCCTTCGTGACCAACTCGCCTCTGGAGGGCGTCATACCGAGAAGGATCCCCGCCACGCGCGGCTTTAGATGCACTCTAGCTCCCACCCCTCCCCATACCACGGCTGCCAGGCCCGATGCTTTGAAGGCGGGGCGCGGCTTCAGGGTCGGGGTGAAATTTAGGGGGGGGGGGGGGGAGGGCCCAGCACACGAGCCCCCCCCCCCCCCCCCAGAAGGACGAGGCCGCGGGCAGGCAGAAGGGGAGGAGTAACGGGCCCCGCGAGGGCCAGAGGCAAGCAACGAAGGAACGGGGAAGGGGGGGGGGGGGGGGGGCGACGACGAAAAGCGACGACGACGACGTGGACGACGACAGCGGATGCGGGGGAGGAGACGGGAGAGGAGGAAAATGAATGAGGGCGAAGACGAAGGTCCCTGGAGGCCTCCAGAGGCCCATATATTGGTGTGTATAAGCATATTTGGAAGCATTCCCCATAAGATTCAGGTGAGAATCCAGTTGTAAAATTCTGCTGTTCTCGCAGTCGCAGTCGCATTCGCAATGACAGTCGCAGTGGCAACGGCCTTAGGATCCAATGGAATGCTAAGGATTCCTAGGGATTCCTAAGGCATCCTTAGGTATCCTTAGGAATACATAGAAAATCCTTAGGAAACCTTAGGAATCCTTCGGAATCCTGATTCCTAGTGATTCCTAGGGATTCCTAAGGATTCCTCGGGAATCCTAAGGATTCCGAAGGATTCGCCTGCCTCGGCCTCAGCCTCAGCCTGCCTCAGCCTCAGCCTGCCTCAGGCTCAGCCTCAGCCTGTCTCAGCCGCAGCTTGCCTCAGCCTCAGCCACTGCCTCAGCCTCAGCCTGCCTCGGCTTGCCTCGGCCTCAGCCTCAGCCTGTCTCGGCCTCAGCCTCAGCCTCAGCCTGCCTCAGCCTCTCAGCCGCAGCCTGCCTCAGCCTCAGCCTGCATCAGCCTCAGCCTCAGCCTCAGCCTGCCTCAGCCGCAGCTTGCCTCAGCCTCAGGCTCAGCCTCAGCCTGCCTCAGCTTCAGCCTCAGCCTCAGCCTGCCTCGGCTTGCCTCAGCCTCAGCCTCAGCCTGCCTCGGCCTCAGCCTCAGCCTCAGCCTGCCTCAGCTCTCAGCCTCAGCCTCAGCCTCAGCCTGCAGCCTGCCTCAGCCTCAGGCCTGCAGCCTCAGCCTGCCTCAGCCTCAGCCTCAGCCTGCCTCAGCCTCAGCCTGCATCAGCCTCAGCCTCAGCCTGCCTCAGCCTGCCTCAGCCTGCCTCAGCCTCAGCCTGCCTGCCTCAGCCTCAGCCTCAGCCTGCCTCGGCTGCCTCAGCCTCAGCCTCAGCCTCCTCGCCTCAGCCTGCCTCAGCCTGCCTCAGCCTCAGCGTCAGCCTCTCAGCCTCAGCCTCAGCCTCAGCCTCAGCCTCAGCTCAGCCTCAGCCTCAGCCTCAGCCTCAGCCTCAGCCTCAGCCTCAGCCTCAGCCTGCAGCCTCAGCCTCAGCCTGCCTCAGCCTCAGCCCTCAGCCTCAGCCTCAGCCTCAGCCTCAGCCTGCCTCCAGCTCTCAGCCTCAGCCTGCCTCAGCAGCCTCAGCCTGCCTCAGCCTCCTCAGCCTCAGCCTGCAGCCTCAGCCTCAGCCTCAGCCTCAGCCTCAGCCTCAGCCTCAGCCTCAGCCTCAGCCTGCCTCAGCCTCAGCCTGCCTCAGCCTCAGCCTCAGCCTGCCTCAGCCTCAGCCTCAGTCAGCCCTCAGCCTCAAGCCTCAGCGTCAGCCTGCCTCGCCTCCAGCCTCAGCCTGCCTGTCAGCCTCAGCCTCAGCCTCCTCAGCCTGCCTCAGCCTCAGCCTCAGCCTCAGCCTGCCTCGGCCTCAGCCTGCCTCAGCCTCAGCCTCAGCCTGCCTCGGCCTCAGCCTCAGCCTCAGGCCTCAGCCTGCCTCAGCTGCCTCAGGGGCACTCAAAATATGGCACAGGACTGGTGCTCTGGGAACACGAAGATCACGAAGTGGCCTACAGTTGGCTCTGGGCAATCAAAATATGGTACAGGAATGGTGTTCTGGGAAGACGAAGAACACGAAGTGGCCTACAGTTGGCTCCGGGCGTTCAAAATGTGGCCTGGGAATGGTCTTCTGGGAAGACGAAGAACACGAAGTGGCCTACAGCTGGCTCTGGGCATTCAAAATGTGGCCTGGGAATGGTGTTCTGGGAACACGAAGAACACGAAGTGGCCTACAGCTGGCTCCGGGCATTCAAAATGTGGCCTGGGAATGGTGCTCTGGGAATGGATTCCTATGGATTCTTCAAAATTCCTAAAGATTCCTAAAGATTCCTGGGGCTGCCGGATCTGTCCGGATCCCTTGTCCGGATCCCGCCCAGACCCCCCTGGGGCGTCAAGATGTACTCTCTTTTGACCCCACTAGTAACCTATCAGCAAAAGCTGGCTTAGCAAAAAAAGCATATATTGGTTTAGCCCCCCAAAAAAAGCCAGCGTGGGCCCAAAACAGTGTGTGATGACATTCCCGCTGTCAGCTCCAAGCTGTGCAAGCCATGGGATATGGTCTACGTGCTGCGGCATATGTTCTGCAACCTGCGGAATGCAATACTGTACATGCGCAAACTGTATGGTGCAAGCTGTGGCGCAACATGCGGAATACAAGCTGCTCGATGAAATCTATTGAATACAATCCACTAAGCAGAATTGCAGTCAACATTCCCCCTTCTCACAACATCCCGCCCAACCACCCCCTCTTCCGCAACTGGTGGGCAGAACTCGAGACGGCGTGGGGAGGTTCCGCATCAGATCCTTGTCGCAAATCCCACTAAGCACAATGGCGTGCGGGCCCTGCCCGTGCAGACCCATGCCTCGAGCGGGCGAGAAATCATGGTGACGACGACTTTGGCGACGACAACGACGATGATGGTGATAGTGGCGGCGATGGTTGCAAATCCATGCCACATTCACCGGTCAACACTTCCCCCTCCCCTCAATGTTCAAAAATGGCGGTAGGTCTGATGAGTTGCACTTCTGACCGCAATCTCCTCCGCGCGTGCCAACTTTGAAGTTGGGAGAAAGGGTAATGTCCACGAAGGTATGATTATTGGATGTTGGCGAAATACGCTACAAGCTGCGGCCCGCATTGCCTCGTTCAACAGTTTCGCGATGACAGGATCTGGTGTTCTTCTGTTTTCTGCGAGTGTACGCGTGCAGATGTCTGACCACTACTCATCGCAAAAAAACAAATGGTTCCTGACTGTATTAAGCGGTTCTGCCTTGGAATTGTGCATCTAAACAAGTGGCACGGGGATGCCCAGGGCAGGATGTAAACGGCGCTAGGCACGAAGGGTCACACAGCTGCACCATCGGCGCGTGGGCCACTCAGCAAGATGGCATATGATAAAAAGACTCGCATGGATCCCCTCAGCCAGAAGGGCCACAGCAGCATAAATGGAGGCGAGAACGCATGGAACACCTGCACTTGCAACCGCAATCTGACGTTCCATGTTTTCAAGGTCCAGCACGTCTGGCTAGTGGTCCCACACGGAAGGACAGTTCTGCGAAGCATCATGGTCGAGGATGTTGAAACCCCTTGAGGTCCTACCCCTGAAGCAATCTGGTTGCTGGCACTTCTGGGCTGCATCGGCAATGCATCGCTGCATCGCAGGTTGGGGCCCAGTGGCTGGCACTCCGGGCACCTGGGGTGGGGACTCATGGAACGTAGGACCCACAGCAGCCGCGCGGGAGGAAGAGGGGAGGAGGTGAAGTGCGGCGAGTGGAGGCGCTGCAAGGGAGCTCCAACCTGGTGGCTCGCACTCATTGGCTGCGTCGGCTCGATGTTGGGAGAATGTCTAAAGCGAAACGGTCTCTTTTCTAAGAGTTGTTTGTGGGGGGCACCGCCACCGCACGCCAAGCAGCTGCGCCGAAAAACCAGGGCTCCGGGCCACGAGCTGAAGTCCCTTAGAAAGATGGGGAGGAGGAGGAGGAGGAGGAGGAGGAGGAGGAGGAGGAGGAAAACGCAGCGGCGATGTACAATACTTGTAGGTCCGCGAGAGGGCAGGGAAGCTCACGCTGCGTTCGCGGTAAGGATCCGTGGCCCCACAGGGAGCTCCACCGAAGGCCCCAGTGGCAGGTTCCGCATGCGGGGACCGCCACCCATTTCGGCGCACCCCTCACGAGGATCGTGGCCCCACAGGGAGCTCCACCGAAGGCCCCAGTGCCACATGCGCCCGACGCCGATTTTGGCACACCCCTCACGAAGATCTTGGCCCCATATGGAGCTCCACCGAAAGCGGTACCCACAACGCGGTATTCACAATTCGCCCGGATAATTTAGCACCTGTGCGATGGCGCCGACACTGCCGACGTCTGCCTGAGTGGTGACAAGGGTTCGAAGGTAAGCGTCACCTGCTGCAAGCGCTCCCCAGCCGCCAACGCGGCCTCTCGGGCCAGAAGGAAGGAGGAGGGGACGGGGGAGAGTGAAAAAGCAATGGAGTGAACAGAACGAAGGCCGCCGAAGGCCGCCGAAGGCCGCCGAAGGCCCCCGAGGGCCGCCGAGGGCCGCGGCGGCGGCGGGCGGAAACGACGACGACCCCGACGAGCCGAGGCCCAGGCCGCCGCCACCGCCGCCGCCGCGGGAGCGGGCGGGCTCTGCGGCGCGGAGGGCTGCGGGGGCGCCGCGCTCCTGAGGTTAGGTCGGGCCTGTCCCCCTACAGGCGGATATTGGGTGAAAAATTAAAATGTGTCAAAACATAAACCAGAGATGCTCAAAAATAGTCAAAAAATAGTCCCCATATGATTTTCTGACTATTTTTGCAGATCCCCCGTAGAGGGACAGGCCCGACTTAATCCTGAGGCGGCTCGGGCGCCGCCCATGGGGGGAAGAAGAAGCCATGACTCGACGACAAAATCGGGCGAGGAGAGATCGAGAATCTCTGAGAGGCGGCGGCACTGGAAGATGCCTCGGGCGCCGCGGCCTTCCCGGAGCGTTCCGGCGCGCTCTGCGAGCGTCCCGGAGCGCTCTGGAACGGATGCATCCTCGTCCTAGCCCAGTCCCGGAGGGCGCTCCAAGAACACGGACGAGGAGAGAAGAGGGAGGAGGAGGAGGAGCGCAAGCGAACCCCCACGCGGGGCAGCCTGAGGCGGGTGCGCCCCCTCGAGCCGGGCTGGAGGAGGAGGAGGAGGAGAAGGAGGAGGAGGAGGAGGAGGAGGAGGACCAGTGTAAACCAAAGAGTCATCAACGATGTTGGAATTAACCCTCCCTCCAAGCTCCCTCTCCATAGGCCCGTACAACGGTTCATTTCCATTGAAGGAACTGCCTCATTGGAAGACACCCTTGAAAACCCTGAAACATGCCAGAACATTGTTGTCTGGATTTCAACGCAACGGATCAACCTGACTGCTGCGTCTTGACGATCTGGAACCGTGCCAGAACGCCATTTTGGGACTTCAACACCGCGAACCAACATAACTGTTGCACCCGCATAACCCTGAACCCTCAATTTCTGGTACGTTGACCATGGGACTCCGCAAAATTCTTCCAATTTTTATGAACGAATGTGCGCGGCGCTAAAGCGAGAGCCACATTTTGAAAAGGAACCGCCCTCAGTCCGTGAAACTCTTGCAAACTGTTAAAACGAATGTGCGCGGCGCTAAGGCGAGAGCCACATTTTGAAAACGGCCCGCTCTCAATCCGCGAAACTACTGCAATTTGTTTAAACGAATGCACGCGGCGCTGAAGAGGGAGCCACGTTTTGAAAAGGAACCGCCCTGAATCCGCGAAGCTTTTGCAAATTGTTAACAGGAATGCGCGCGGCGCTAAGGCGAGAGCCACATTTTGAAAACGACCCGCCCTCAATCCGCGAAACTCTTGCGGTTGTTTTAAAACGACTAGTGACTAAGTCGAGAGCCACATTGTGAAAACCAGCCGCCCTCCATTTGTGAAATTGTTGCCACCTTTTAAGCTTCAGGGTCATAAATGGTGAGGAAGTCTCAAGCGAAACGCCTGGCCCGCCCTAAAAACTGGCTTCGGGGTGCGACAAGGAGAAATTCTTTATAAGGAAAAGGAATGGAGGAGGCGAAGCTTAAAAGAGGACCAAACACATCGAAAGTCCACATAGACGAACAAAAAATCCACTTAGCAGAAACACGACGCTCGTCCTCCTCTTGCTAATCTTTGCCCGTGTAGCCCTGAACGTCGCAACGGCCAAAAGGGACAGACGGGCCGAACCGGGGCACGGGGAGAGGGAGGACGCGGAAGGGGCGGCACGGAGAGGAGAAACAGGAGAGGGGAGACAGAGGGAGGGAGACGAGGAGGAGGGAGACGAGGGGGAGGGAGACGAGAAGGAGGAAGACGTGCAGAAGGGAGACGAGAAGACAGGGGCCGTGGGGAGACGAGGAGGAGCAGCAGCACGACGGAGGACGGCGGGAGAGGTGAGGGGCAGAGGGGCGCAGACGCAGCCGACGCAGCCCGGCGGCCGCCGCCACGGCCTCCGCAGAAGCGTACACCCGCTTCGCCTGCTTCCGTCCATCTGGAGGCGTCCCGGGGCCGTCCTGCTGCTTCTCTTCTGCAACCTCCGCCGCCCGCTCCTCTTCGGGAGTTGCTACGTCGTCCTGTCCTGCGTCGAGTTGGCTTCCTCCGCGGCCGTGACTCCCGCCCCCCGGCCAGTTCGACTTTCAAGTGCAGCCTGGGTGCTCTACGGCAGCGGTGAGCCCGTCGGGTCCACATCCTCCAGGTGCTGCGTTACATGAAGAACCGCGGAGAACCCCCACTGGGCGAAGTGGATCAAGAAGGAGATTCGGGAAGATGAGCATCGTGACCCTGCACTTGTTCAACTTGCTGCGCGTATAGTGAGCGCCGGCAGCCTTTATCCTAGCAGGCCTCATGCCCGTTCGTTTCGCAGTGTTGCTCGCGCCGCTCTTCCCCAGCAGGCCTCGTTCTGGGTCGTTTCCGTCGCCTGTCCGTCGGGGACCCCTCCCATCGTGCTCCCACTCGCCTCACCGTCCTTCAGGTGACATGAGCTTAGCCATATGGGTCCGCGAGGCGTCTCCTCCCTCTTCTTCGGAATGTTCTCCTCGCAGCCCTGGCAGGGCCGCAGGAGACAGTTGCACGCCCGCACCTTCCTCTTGAGCTCTTCAGAGGCTCGTGAGGGGCAGATCGTCGTTGGCTGCCGCAGAGCCACTGCAACAAGGCTGGGGCGCACCGTTCCCTCAGGAAAGGAGACATCACCGCGTACGCGGACGCTCGTGCCGCAGAGCTCGACTACATGGAGGCTGTGAGATACGGCGCCCTGCCGCCTGAGGAGCGCCCCACTTCGCCTGCTTGCGCGAGTTCTTCTTCTGCTGCCCCTTCTCAGCCTCCTCTGAAGGGCCAGAAAAGCCCAGGCGAGCCAGGACGACCTTTCATCCGCCCTCCCACCGACATGCAAGACTTGTCATAAGCAAGGTTGGCCAATAATGCGCACCAACACTGGAGCATGTTACTGCATCAAGTCCATGCCGACCTCGCCCCCAGCCTGCGCTTTTTGTAGTGGCAGATGGAGCGGAAGCCACCAAGTCAAAGAGGGCAGGGGCTCCATGTGCAGGGCTTTTTGGATGAAGTACGCCTTGCCCGAAGAATCGGACCTTTGGAACTCGTGGTTTGCCCACAGACCTGCTGCTTACCCTGGCATCTTTTCAGAAGCTGTAGGAAGACATGGCACCTTTAGGTTTTGTTGACTATCTCTCTCTCTCTCTCTATCCCTCTCTCTCTCTCTCTCTCTGTTTTTCTCTCTCTCTCTCTCTCTCTCTGCTGGTCTGGTCTCGGCGTCGTGGCTGTAGACCTGGCCAGGATCCCTCGGCGTGAGTCGCCTCCATTCGGTATCCTGGGGCATCGGTTGCTTCGCGCCCCGCGTTCACTATGGTACAGTTCCTCTTCCTCCACCCTCCTCCTCCTCCTCCCTCCTCCTCCTCCTCCTCCTCCTCCTCCTCTTCAACCTCCTCCTCCTCCTCCTCCTCCTCCTCCTCCTCCTCCTCCTCCTCCTCCTCCTCCTCCCCTTCCTCCTCCAAATCCTCTTCCTCCTCCTCCTCCTCCTCATCCTCCTCCTCCTCCTCCTCCTCCTAACCTGGTTCTGACGCGTGGATTCCGTCCTCACTCGGGCGCATGCTGCTCGGAGCTATGTTCTCCCATGCATTCCAGTCCCCTCGCTGCGGGCCGCCCCCATTCGCCTTGCTGGCGCTTCGTGCCTCTATCGCCCTTGCTGCACATCTTTTCGTACGTGTTGCCCCGCTCTGAGGGCCTGCCCTCGCGGTCAGGGAGTGCACGTTTTGAGCCCATGTGCCCTTGCACCTCGCGGTGATGGGTGCCTGCTTGTAGCTGCAGCCTCTCTGACATCACGCCCAAATATGTACATCCAGCCAGGGGCGTTCAGCCTGCTCCCTTCCCCATGGGGTCTCCCCCCTCCCCTCCCCTCCGCGCAGCGCTCGACTAGCCGCTTAGGCGAGTGTCACTGCTAAGTTTGCAGTTAGCGTTGTGTTGAATAGTTATCAGAGTGAGAGGGCGGAACGGTCATTGATTGTCCCTGGGTGCGTGGTTGAATAAGAAATTCGCAGTGAGAATTATGTTTGTTGCGTTGTTGCTGCTGTTGTTGTTATTGTTGTCGTTGGTGTTGTTGGTGTTGCAATTGTTGTTGTTGGTGTTGTTGGTGGTGGTGGTTTTGTTGCTGTTGTTGTTGTTGTTGTTGTTGTTGCTGGTGGTGGTGGTGTTGTTGTTGTTGTCGTCCCACCCGCGACCCACCCGCGACCCAACCCGCGAACCCACCCGCGACCCACCCCGCGACTCGCGACCCAACCCGCGACCCACCCCGCGACCCACCCCGCGACCCACCCGAGACCCACCCGCGACCCACCCGCGACCCACCCCGCGACCCACTCGCGACCCACCACGCGACCCACCCCGCGACCCATCCGCGATCCACCCGCGACCCACCCCGCGACCCACCCGCGACCCACCCCGCGACCCATCCTCAAGGGAGGAAAAAAACACCCGGACCCGACAATTGACGTTTACTACACGGCCCTGGGCGTTGACTAAACAGCCCTGCCCTGTTCGATTCATTCCTTGTGCGCGTTAACCAAACGGCTTCGCTTGTCGGGGTCATTCTTATGGGATGGATGTTCTGCTCTCTACACCCGCGACCCACCCGCGACCCACCCGCGACCCACCCGCGACCCACCCGCGACCCATTTGCGACCCACCGGCGACCCACCCACGTTGGTTCAACGAAAAAATCGGCGCATGAGGCGGGCTTGTTGAAACATTTGTGGAATTTTGGCGCCTGCGGCGAGCTTCTCCGGAGTCTTGCAAACTGCAGACGTCCCCACTGCCAGCTCACTCTTATCCGCATCTGCGGGGTGCTACGTATTCAAGCTTACTTTTGAATGTGCGTACTGCCTTCCAATCAGGGGCACCGCACTCCGTGCATGCCTCCGGCCGACGACGACATCCCTCCCTCTCCCCCTCCCTCCCTCCGTCCACCTCCTCCTCCTCCTCCTCCTCCTCCTCCTCCTCCTCCTCCTTCTCCTCCTCCCTCCCTCCCTCCCTCCCTCCCTCCCTCCCTACCTCCCTCCCGCCCTCCCTTCCTCCCTCCCTCCCTCCCTCCCTCCCTCCCTCCCTCCCTCCCTTCTTCGTCCTCCCTCCTCCCTCTTCCCTCCTCTCTCCCTCCTCCGCCGCGTCCTGGATCTGAGCTTCGAGGATGCCGGCGGCGACCTCACTCGCGGCGGGTCCAGCAGACGGGAGCCCGAGAGCGCGTCCTGGGGGGTGGGGGGGGGGAGCGCGCGCCCAAGGACAGCGAGGGGAGAGGGCTGGAATCGAGGAGCATCAAAGAGGGGGGGAGGGATGAAGAGGGAGGGGAGGAGGAAACACCAGGAGGAGAAAGAGAAGAAGGAGGGAGGAGGAGGGGGCGGATGAGGAGAAGGAGGAGGAGGAGGGGGAGGAGGAGAAGGAGGAGGAAGAGGAGGAGGAGGAGGGAGGAGGAGGAGGAGGAGGAGGAGGAGGAGGAGGGAGGAGGAGGAGGAGGCGGAGAAGGAGGAGGAGGAGGAGGAGAGAGGAGGAGGAGGAGGAGCAGGAGTCAAGTTAACCAGGTCGCGCGAGTCAGAGGGCCCCGCCTGTTGCCGCCCTCCCTCCCACAACATCAGGAAAAATGACGGCACGACTTGAGATTGGGATTGGAACGCGTCCCACCTCGCACACGGAAGGCGCTCGCGCGCGGCCCAGTGCCGCAACTTGGCGAAGGGAAAGCTACGAGGGCCGCGCAGGAGCGGGACCGGCAGGACTCCCGATGGGCGCGGCGAAGGCGAAGCCCTCGCCGCGCTGGCACAGCACTGCCACTTTCACTTCACTAACAAACTGCGCGGCGCTGGGGCGAGGACGGCATTTCGCCCGCTCTCGTGCGGCGCCGCTGCCGCTGTCGTCTGCACGCGGCTCGACGAACGAGCCATGCGCCGCGTCCGCGCGCGACACCACTTCCGAGCGAAATTCGCACTGAGCCTGGGCGAGGGCGACAAGTCACCCACCCGGGCGAGCCGCCCAAAGTTGGCGGGTTACAGACATGCGCCGCGTCGGGGCGGGAACGCCGCTTTCAAACGAATTCTGCGCGGCGCCGAGGCGAGAGCTACATGTTCGCCCGCTCACAAGTCGATGAAGTGGTATGCAAAAAAAACAATCCTCTAAATACGTAGCACCCCGCAGATGCGGATAAGAGTGAGGGGGCGGTGGGGACGTCGGCAAAGTTTCACATTTGTTTCAACAAGCCCGCCGCAGGCGCCGATTTCTCGTTAAACCAATGTGGGTGGGTCGCGAGTGGGTCGCGGGTGGGTCGCGGGTGGGTCGCGGGGTGGGTCGCGGGTGGGTCGCGGGTGGGTCGCGGGTGGGTCGCGGGTGGGTCGCGGGTGTAGAGGGCAGAAAATCCACCCCATAAGAATGACCCCAACAAGCGAAGCCGTTTGGTTAACGCACACAAGAAATGAATCGAACAGGGCAGGGCTGTTTAGTCAACGCCCAGGGCCGTGTAGTAAACGTCAATTGTCGGAGCCGGGTGTTTTTTCCTCCCTTGGGGATGGGTCGCGGGGTGGGTCGTGGGTGGGTCGCGGGGTGGGTCGCGGGGTGGGTCGCGGGTGGGTCGCGGATGGGTCGCGGGTGGGTCGCGTGGTGGGTCGCGAGTGGGTCGCGGGGTGGGTCGCGGGTGGGTCGCGGGTGGGTCGCGGGTGGGTCGCGGGTGGGTCGCGGGGTGGGTCGCGGGTTGGGTCGCAGGTTGGGTCGCGGGGTGTGTGGCGGAGTGGGTCGCGGGTGGGTCGCGGGTGGGTCGCGGATGGACGACGACAACAAACAACAACAACAACAACAACAACAACAACAACAACAACAACAAGGCAAAACAACCTCCTGGTGTACCCGGAGCCGGTCCACCAGTTCGCTGTTTTGCTCCATGTAGCGAAACAACCCACTGGTGTACCAGGACCCCCCCCCCCCCCCCCCCCCCCGCAACGCAACGCAACGCAACGCAACACGGCTGTATGAGCAGCCTCTGTTGCGTTGTGTTCCGTTGCGCGGGCAGGTGGGGGGTGTGTGACCCTACGGGAGCTCCCACTGTATGGGATCCCCTACGGATCCTATACGGACTGTATAGGATCCCATACGGATCCTATACGGGTATCCCCTACGGATCCTACGGATCCTACGGACTGTATGGGATCCCATACGGATCCTATACGGCCTGTATGGGATCCCATACGGATCCTATACGGCCTGTATGGGATCCCATACGGATCCTATACGGCCTGTATGGGATCCCATACGGATCCTATGGGTATCCCATACGGATCCTATACGGACTGTATGGGATCCCATACGGATCCTATACGGACTGTATGGGATCCCATACGGATCCTATACGGACTGTATGGGATCCCATACGGATCCTATACGGACTGTATGGGATCGCATACGGATCCTATACGGACTGCATGGGATCCCATACCGATCCGATACGGACTGTATGGGATCCCCTACGGATGCTATGCGGACTGTACGGGGTCTCATACGGATCCTATAAGGACTGTATGGGATCCCCTTACGGATCCTATAAGGATTGTATGGGATCCCCTACGGATCCTATCCAGACTGTATAGGATCCCATACATATCCTATACAGACTGTATGGGATCCCATACGGATCCTATACAGACTGTATAGGATCCCATACGGATCCTATACAGACTGTATGGGATCCCCTACGGATCCTATACAGACTGT